TTTTTGTGATACTTCTTTAAAATTAAAAAAGCTTCAGATATACAAAAACAATAATTTTTATATTCATGATCATAATAACCTGAGCTACCAAATAATGTAAATTTCATACAAAGTCATTATGTAAGATTTTGCAGAATTTTCGAAAAAATGCATTTGACTTTTTAGATTAGAAATGTGATGATCTTTCTAAAATGGATTTCATATATATATACATCTACGAAATTTTCAAAATCTATCTAGTCCACCAATTCTTTTTCCAGAGTTATAAAATTAGTATCAAATAAAAGTTTGGAATATATTCTTCCACTTAAAGGTTTTAGATTTTTAAAAATTTTATTAAAATTTTTTCTATTTTTGTTTAAAACTTTTTTTTGCATACAACTTTTTTTTATAAACAAAAAATTAAAAAAATAAAACCTTTATTTTGAATTATATGTTATGTAGTACTTATATACTAATTTTAAACAGAGGTCTATTTGATGGAGGAGATAGAGTTTGAATTTGTTTATTTTTTATATTAAAATTTTTACATCTATTTGATCAGCAAAAAATCCGCATATGGTGCTTTATAAAGAACTCAATATATAAAAATAAATCCCAATTTAAAAGATTCGCGACTTTGTCACGTGATCATCGGTAAATCGTGAAAATAATCGGTAAATCGTGGTTTAGACGGTTGCCGAAATTTCAAATAACATAGTAAAGTTGCCCAACTTTAAGCCATTATAACTTTTTATTTTACTAAATAACTCAAAAAAAAACTTTCTATTACATTATTTCTCATGTCAAAAAGATTGCAAAAATAGAGAGTTTTTGGTAAAATGGCCCATATTTAATAAAGTATCAGCATTTAAAGATTGCCAACATTTTGTGATGTCTTTAGATGATCGGCACTATATATGATTTTTTATATATGTGGTCAATTATGTTTGTGTTTATACTAATGTGTAACACCCCAGTTCTCTAACATCCTTATAAATAGTGATGGGCGTAGAAATTACGATCCGCGGTGCAAAAATGGTAAAAAATTGTCTGTTGACAATGTTTAATATTAACAATTAATAAAGCACGATGTTTTGGTATTACAAACTTTCTCTTCCTCTTCTCTTCAAAAACATATCTAATAATATTATTATCACTATTATTATTGTTTTTTCTTTGCAAATAGGAATAAATTCTTCACACAAATACTGAAAAGTACTTCTAG